GTATTTCTATTCAGTTCTTAGCTCTTTATTAACATTTCTGCCAGGCCTCCATGTGACTCAGCCTATGCTAAAACAACACACTCCTGAGTCCAGGATCTATAATAAATGCTCATGCAGAATTCTATCCTTTCTCTTCACAGTTCCCTATTCTCTGGTAACTTACTCAAACATTGTAGCTGCTTCAGCAGCTCAGAACACTGATCTGTCTCTTCAGGCTCCACATGCTCAGCCCAAGCTTTATCTCCTCTATGTGAAGCATGTCATAGGCCCACAGCAGAAACCCAGGCAACATGTTGGACTTACCTAATCTGCTTGCTCCAAAATTTTTACAAGTGTGTCCTACTTGTTGCTCGTTGTCTGAACATAGATAATTTATATATTTTTCTGGCTATATAGCTTTTTTCAGTATGAAGACAAGTCTTGTAACAGTTACACTCTTGTGTGGCTGGAAGCAGATGGCTATATATTTTTTTAAGCTGATGGAAATAATTATATTCACCCACAGACTTTCTGGGAAGTGTTTATTTCTAGGACCCATGGAAATATTTGTTGAGCATGTCTCCAAGGAAGACTGGGTTTCATGCCAATAGGAGTTAGTTGGAATACAAAGTCATTGCTATTTCATTAAAATAAAGAAATGTATCTTTATTATGTACTCCATCCTTAAAAGTATGTTGTGTTATAATAACATGGTGGATCTTGTACATAAGGTTTCCATTCACTGACATATGAGCTACAAGTTATGAAGCTAGTTTTGAGAAAAGGTTCCTGAATTCAAGTTTAGGGGCTATAGAATTTACACTTCTTGTTGTATAACAAAAATATATATGCCTGCTAGTTACAGGAATGCTATTGTAAGCCACTCTAGTTGCCTTTATTTCAACTTTTATTTTACATTAAGGAGGTGTATACAGAGGTTTGTGACAAGGATATATTGCATGATGCTGAGGTTTGGGTACAATTAAACATGTCACCCAGATAGCAAGCATAGTATCCCAATGAGTAGTTTTTCAAACCTTGCCCATCTCTTTCCCTCCTTTCTTTTGTAGTTCTCAGGGTCTATTATTCCCATCTTTACGCCATGTGGACCCAACTTACAGTTCCCACTTATAGGTAAGAACACGTAGTGTTTTGTTTACTGTATCTGCATTAAGTTTGCTTAGGATAATGGCCTTCAGCTTCATTCATGTGGCAGCAAAGAACATGATTTCATCCTTTTTTAAGCCACTATAGTTAAACAAGAGGAAGTCTATGACCAAAGCGCCGTCAGGTAACTATGGCTTCAACCAGGCTATAAAAACCCATGATCACAATATGATTTCTAGTTCTCAGTGAATGCCACAATAAACGTACAGTTTTTAATGTATTCTGGTTAGGTTTATCTAATAAATTGGACAGAGATAATTCTGAGGAGTCAGGGCACAGTGATATTGTCATGGGATCCATGGGGTGTCACTTTGCTTGTTGGAAACCTTTGTGCCTGGCAGTGCCTTCTGCCTGAGTATTGCTTGTGCCCACTGAGCTCGTTCCATGCACTTGGTCCAGCAGGCTGTGCTTGGCTCGTGTAACCAGCACAGATCCTGTATCTGCCAAGGGCTAGTCAGGCGCAGGCAGAGTGGCAAGGGGTGTGTGGGCGAGTGAGCGTGGGGTTCGGCCACTGTGCACAGCCAGGCACACTGGCTGCTGAAGTGGCTAGGCAGCTCCAGGCACTAGCACAGGTGCCGGCTCCATGGGAGGCTATGGCTGGACCAGCTGTACTACATGCTGCTTCTTCTGGGGGGTACTTGCATCTGGATGAGGGTAACGTGGTGTCACCCAGAAGCTTGGAGATGCCAGGAACTGCAGAGCTCCAAAGAGGGTTTCACAACCCTGTCTCAAGGAGCCCCTTGGTCTATGTTCCCATAAGGGCCACAGCTTTTTTCTCCTTCTCATCACCTGCAATGTGACAAGTAGAGGTGGGAGAGGGGCCTGTTTGTGTTACAGCTCCTTCAGTCCCACCATTCAGCAGGTCCCAAGTTCAGGCAGGTCATCCTGTCAAGTGTCCAGCTGTCAGTGGAGAGGAGGCCCACAGTGGGTAGCTCCTTTACGTAGCTGGTAGTCCGGACATCTCTGTGAGTCTGGCTGAGTCCAGAGTTTTTATGGGCTTCAGAAGACAGGAAGGGCCGTGCTGATTGGTCCATGGGTGGCCATGGGTTGGCCTGGAAAAAGCACCTATAAGTTCTCACTCCGGGCCATGGACTCCATCCTAACTGACAGCCCAGGTCCCAGGCTTCAGGCTGTCCCTGGCTTGAAGATGTGGCTTCACCAGTTACCTGCCCCTTTCTGTCCAGGAGGCTGTCTGCCTCCTGCCACCATTAATCGTGTTGTCCACAGTACCCAAACTGTTCATGTCAAAGGATGTCTGCAGGCCTGCACCAAGTCACCCTCAGCCTCACCTTGGCCTCCCGCCCATGCCCCTTGGCACTCAAAATCTGGAAAGGGCTGAGGAGTCAGGGGTTAGCATGGTCAGTGCCTCCCAAAGCATGCACACACCTGGGCAGGTTGCAATAGTGCCAGGGCTCAGCCTCAACTTTGCTCTGAAATCAACGCAGGCACTGGGAGCAGAGAGAGGTCAGGCAGGGGGAGCAGGCACTTCTGAGCTTGCCGGGGCTTCTTGGGCCCCCAAGAGCTCAGGGATGTCTGGGTTCACAGTACCTACTGGGCACCTGCAGCTGTGCCCAGCAGGGTGGGGCTTCCGCCCTGCAAACTGAGGCTCCTTCCTGTTCCCAACTCCCACCGGCTCCATGGAGAGCACAGACCTGGCTGTGCCTCCACTGCAGCTGCCAGTGTCTTCACAGATGGCCACCACTGCCATCAATATTGAATAAGGTGAAGTACTCAATAAACCAGGGGATGATATTCTCATTGAGTTTCTATTTAACTGGGCAATTGTCAAAATAAAGTATTCAGTGGGGAGTTTTGAGTAGTGGCTCCATACAAAATGTTGATTCCACTGAATTTAGAGTCTCTTGTAAAAGTCAATATGCATCAGCAATGGACTCCAAGTTAAATAACCATGTTCAGTGTTTGTTTGAGGAACAATATAAATAAAGATACCTATGCTTTTTATCTCCTGAGGGCAGATGTTTTTGATGAGCAGGCAGTAATGCTTCCTTCCTTACATACTTTTAAATATATAAATTAATGTCTTAACATTGTGGCTTCTGTAGCAGTCTCATGTGTTTTAGAATAGCATGAATCAATTCACCAAGGCTAGAGCCTTCTTACATTGTAAACCAGTGAAATTAAGTTTGTGATTCTGAAAAGCTGAAAAATCACCCCTGGGACTGGAGAAAATGTGAGAGTAAGATTGAGAAGCCATAATTCCCTATCCATCTTCCTACACAGTTTCATAGCCTTTGTCATCTGAGGAAAAAAAGAAAGGTTTTCCCCACACCAGTTAAAGGCTGTGAATGTGGCCTAGATAATTCTTGGGGAATTTAAGTTGAAACACTTCTTTTAATGTCCTTTGAAAGGAAAAGCTAAACCTTCATTACTCAGAATGAAATTGTGGCAAAAACAAGTGTATCAAAAGGGCTAGAGAGAGATGAAAACAAATTGTACTTCCAGGTAAGCTGCTCGAATCTATCTGGTCATTCTCTAAAATATCTAAAATAGTTTCATCATATTCAAATCACTAGAAACACTGTGGGGTGTGTGTGTGTGTGTGTGTGCACGTGTGCACACGCACACATAATGGTTTAAATAACAACATTATTGTCTGCCATAGAAATACACAACTTCTCCACAGAAATAAGAAAAACTTAACATTCAAGAAGTATCTAATTTAGGATTATAACGCTACAGTTTTCTCACTAAAAATATGACTCTGCTTTTTTTTTTCTTTTTGAGACAGAGTCACTCTGTTGCCCAGGTGCCGTGGTGAGATCTTGGCTCACTGCAACTTCTGTCACCCGAGTTCAAGTGATTCTCTTGCCTCAGCCTTCCGAGTAGCTGGGATTACATGTGCTTGCCACCACACTGGCTAACTTTTGTAGATTTTAGTAGAGACAGGGTTTCACCATCTTGGCCAGGCTGATCTTGAACTCCTGACCTCATGATTCATCTGCCCCAGCCTCCCAAAGTGGTGGGATTACAGACATGAGCCACCACGTCCAGCCTAAATATGACATTTTATCCCATAGTAGAGTTCTTTTTTGCTACTTGCCTCAAGACAATAAATTCTTGGCCAGGTGCGGTAGCTCATGCCTGTAATTTCAACATTTTGGGAAGCCAAGGTGGGTGGATTACCTGCTACTCAAGAGGCTGAGGCAGGAAAAGTCTTGAACCCAGGAGGTGGAGGTTGTGGTGAGCGAAGATAGTGCCATTGCATTCTGGGCAACAAGAGTGAAATTCCATCTCAACAAAGAAAAAGAAAAAAAGACAATAAATTCTGTAGTAAAATTTAATAGGTTTAGCTTCTTATTTTAATTAGATCAAAATAGAAGAGGATAAGCAGGATGATTACTTGGCTTGATTTCGAAATGTTTTACAGATATCCAATAAAATTTCATTGAATGATTAACAATTGACCTTGACACAATATCAGAGGTATTAAAGTTGAATACATTTGGGCTGTTCAATGTATGAAACGAAAGTCTTCACCGGTCATGGTGGTTCAGACCTGTAATCTCAGCACATTGGGAGGTCAAGGCAGGCAGATTGCTTGAGGTCAGGAGCTTAAAACTAGCCTGGCCAAAATGGTGAAACCCCATCTCTACTAAAAATACAGAAACTAGCCAGGCATGGTAGTGTCCACCTATAATCCCAGCTGCCTGGGAGGCTGAGGCAGGAGAATCATTTGAACCCAAGAGGCAGATGTTGCAGTGAGCTGAAATTACACCACTGCACTCCAGCCTGGGTGACAGTGAGACTTTGCTTCAGAAAAAAAAAAAAAAAAAAAAAAAGATAAAGTCTCCATGTCACCGTTAGAAAATCTGACATTTAACAGAATTTAACAGGAAAGAGACATGGGGGATTGTTTGTCCTGTTCCCCAGGAGAGTACATTTAAAATGAGGAGGAATTTGGATCACTGTAAAAGAAAAAAAAATAAAAAGAAGGATGAAACAGTTAAGTATTGTCTCCTAGTAGTTTAATTTGCTGGCCATGATTAAGTTGTGTGGTTCATTGACTAAAGGGAATGAGAAAAGTATCATTACTTCTTTGGAGATGAGCTGAACTGGGTACCCTAAAAGATTTTCTCCAGCATTGGGTATATAAAAATTTAAATATCTAAAGATTTCAAGTAATATGTCAATTTACCCAATAATTTATTCACATTTAATCTTGAATACTTTATTTCTTCAGTTGTGCTAGTTACTATTGATCAAAGTTGTGGAAGATGCAGATTTATCTTACCCTTCACAGCTTCAAATATAAGAGTTCAGACAAGAAGTAAACAGACAATGAATGCACCATGTGATAACAACTGTAACTGAGAAAGTAGAGGAATTATGGAAGCAGAAAGCAAGGGGATTTCAACACCAATACTTTTCACAATAGTGCAGAGCACTGAGGCACCACCATGGAAATGCCACACTCCTCAAGACACTTATGGCAAATATTCTGGGACCACAGTAAACTTTGACTAATCATTGTGTTTAGAGTGTGCTGAGGGGCATAACAGAGAGCCCTTTTACCACTGAATTATTTTCCCTAGTGAAAGTAGTATTGTCACTAGGTTACCCCAGTATAGTCAAATGTTTTCTTCATCAAACTTCCCATTATGATTTTCATTAATAAATTCCTGTGAAATAAATTGAAATTATATCATGAAAAGTTTTGGATTTAGTCAAGCAAATACTTCCTGTGATTTAATTGACTTAATTTTTGGAGATTTGCCAATCATTATATGCCAATTACAAGCTCAAATAACTAATAATATTCCTTTTAGGGTCTTCTTATTGGATGAAGAATGTCCATTTAACCACCTGCAACTATTTTCCTGAAAAAACTGATGCCCAATATAATAGAGTAATTTCCATGTAGTGGAATGCAATATAGCAAGGTAAAACAGGATTTGCCCCAAATAGCAATTAGAAGTAGCAAAGTAGAATGACCACAAGTCTCTTCACTCTGTGCATAATTTTATATACTTTTATAATTTCTGGCTTCATTTTGAAAAAAGGAGCTATAATACACATCTTTATAAAGTATAACTAGAGAAAACTCTATTTACTGCTGTATATACATGTTTTGGTGTGGCCTATTATTTATCTTAATTAAAAATCTAAATATCCTTCTGAATGTCTATTCATCCTCTACTTTTAATTCATGGAACTTGCATGAGTTAGAGCTCACCAGTGATAATAATGATGGTAGAAATTTATTGAAGACACCCTTACATAGGGTGTGCTAGCAATTTCCATAAACCAGGCACACAAACGTTTTTTAAAAATATGAGTTATCTATCACAATTCACACTTTATACAGGCCAACTGGTAGCAAAATAGATTAAGTAGCTTGCTGAAGACAATATAGTTATAATAATCAAGGGAACTTGGGCTCAAATCAGGCAACAGAATCCTAGAGCTGAAACCAGAATATGACCAATCAGATATTTTCTTTCTTTCTTTTTTTTTTTTTTTTTTTTTTTTTTTGAGACAAGGTCTCATTGTGTCACCGAGGCTGGAGTGCAGTGGCACAATCATGGCTTACTGCAGCCTCTAGGCTCAAGCAATCCTCCCATCTCAGGTTCCTGTGTAGCTAGGATGGAAACATCTTTTTCTTAAATGTAAGGAATGAGCTGATGTCCAAATCAAACCAGTGGAATTAATACATGTTTGGCTTTCTGGGAAAAGAATTACACTTCTCATACGGACTTGAACCTCTGAGTATGTAAGGGTTTTTGCTTCCTTCTAGCAACTTTGTGGCTGGAAAAATGAAGACTATGAAAAGGAAGGCAACCCAAGGTTGGACCTTACTTGAGACTTGTTGCTACCATTTGGACCAGAAATCGAACTGGGCATAAATCTCTGAATTACTCAACAATTGAAAAGTACATAAACCAGTATGTTTATGCCACATTTTTCTGTTTCTTGAAAGAGCATCTTAACCACCGTGGTCCAAGGTTCACAGATTTCAAAGTTCATTGAGATGTCTTTAAGCAAAATCTTAGTGCCTTTTACTGTCAGTGAAAACAGAGTTCAAAAATTATATCTTGAGAGCATGGTCAGTTTCCTCTTTGAGAAAATAAAAATGTAGTGTGTGCCTGTGTGTTTATACACAAACATAATTTAGCCATGAGTCTTACATATTTTTTGTCAACTTAGTAAAAGCAACTATGCTTGTGTGTGTGTGTGTGTGTGTGTGTGTGTGTGTGTGTGTGTTTATATACAAACTTACATTTTCTAATATGGTCCTTGTTTGTTGTCTATCATACTGTTGGGGAGAAGGGCCAGTTTCATGCTTGTGTACACCAGCACTTTTCCCATGCAATCTGGAAATACATCTTTTCTGAATGATGTATGAAATTAATGAGGTCCATTAACATAAGCTGAAAGACTAACACTCTTATATGTACAAGTGTTACATAAAATGTAGTTCGTAATAAGAACTTTTTTTCTTATTTATTCAACACTAGTGAAACAAGAACAGCAAAGTTGGAATATATCCTAGAGTTATTTGTTTATCCTGTCATAGAACATTTAATTTAAAGGTCTCTATAACTCAGAGAGAGATTTCTGTGTTTTCTCTGTTTGACTTCTGATATGTCTTTCCTAATCTTGACAACAATAACAAGATTGTGGACAGGTAAAAATAAAATATATGCCATTCATCATGCTACTTGCCAGGAACAAGAGAAACAAAGAAGTATCAGTTATGGTCTGATTCCCCCATTGCAGTCACTGTCTGGTAAGAACACAAAATGTATTTGCAACAATATGATGAATCCTATCATAAAGACGTGAGGAAGATATGACTAATCTTTGAATACACCACGATGGCTTACTCTGGGACTTGTGTAAAGGAGAAGCTCACTAAATGACACTTGAATTAATATTTTTAAAATGCATTGGGTTGTTTCACAATTGAGGTAATAACCCATTATAATGGTATATCTTTATGTCTACAGATTTCATATAAGATCTATCTTTCAACATCTATGTTTATTTATTTTAGTTTTGTTTTAAATTTTTTAAATTCCAGGGTACATGTGCAGGATGTGCAGGTTTGTCTGATTATTTAACAGACATGGAATGAAAATTCAAATACGTTTTATTGTGATTCAGGCTATTTCTCTGCTGGTCTCACTCAGAGATAGCACAAGTCTTCAGACATAAGAATCTCAATCTCTACCAATCTAGCAATTCATGAGAGTATTAATCACCAACTATGACACGGTGCAAGAGACCTTTGACCATAGTTCAGCATCAAATATCAACTTCACATGGGAGGAATTAGAAGAAAATAAGGCCTTCAAAGATCCTTTTCCTGTAACATTTTAGAATTTCAATTCCCAATCTCTTCAGTTGAAAAATTCTGATTATTTTCTGTCACATGGTTTGTGCACAGAACACAACTGAAGCAAGATGACAGATACAAAATTACTCTAAGAACTAGAAAATGCAGGCTTTGATTTTCTAATTATAAATTGACAGCAAAAATAATTGTTTAAAAATGAAGATATAATTTCTTTATGTCTCTGAATTGTGTGACAGGCAAAGATTTTCAAGATAACATTATGAAGTGTTAACTGTACAATGCTTACTGTATCATACCACGTTACTGAGTTAAGTGGAGCTATGCCCAACTCCGATTGTTTGTGCAATCAGGCTTAGGCTGATGTCTGTAGGAATTTCCACCCATATGTTAGGCAATGGCCTGAAGTAAAGCAGCCTTCTTTGCCAGATTGTGCTGTTGTAATGCTTTCTAAAACAGCTGGAATATGTTTTCCAATAGTACACAATAGCACCTAAATAGCTGTCTTCCCGTGATTTAGAGATTTTAAACTCATCCCCATGTTTAATTCATCATAAGACTCTGTTCTGACATTTTAATAAGTAATTTTTTAAAATGATGCTTATTTCTTAAAAGTTGTCTTTTTAAAAATATACTTTTGATGGACCTCTAACAAAACCAATGTTTGGGATTTTTCAGAGGAGGAAAAAGTAGCAATGTGGTGAAAATAGACAGCGGAGATAGATGACCAAATAATAAAACATCAGTCACCTATGAGGGAAAAACAGTATACTAGGACTTGAAAATCAAACCTGAAATCCCAGTTCTTCTAAACTAATGAGCTCCTATGTATGTAGAGATAGAAAGTAACTGAATTTGTGATTAACTTCAGCTTAAATTAACAGAGGCTTATTGGTCATAACAAAACTACAACTTCCAAAGGATGCAACTCCAAGCTAGGTCAGAGGTTGAATAAGATCATTCAGGACCCAGGTATTTTTACCTCCATGTTCCATCATCCTAAAAGTAATAGCTTTATATGGTATGATTATCTCTTGACAGTTTTATGACATTGTTGAAGTCGGTTGTTGCATATATGAATATTTCTTTATTCCATGGCAGGAAGAACAAGTATGGCAAAAGGGCAACACAGTTTATTCTAGAAAGAGGTTATAGTTTTATATAAGATGAGAATCTTTTTCTAGCTAACTAATTTCTTATTAGCCAGAATTGGGTAAAGTACACTTCCTTAGAGCAAACCCATTCAAAAGAATACAATTTGTAAAAATAGTATGCATTTATAATTATTTGAAAGCAGACTAGAAATCTGTTTGAATAAGTCCTCCAAGCAATTCCGATGCCTACAAAAGTTGTGAGACCAATCACACAACCAGTTTAGGTGGTGTGTTATTTCTCCTAGGGTGACTCATGATCTAAATAAACCAGAAATGCTGCAACAAGAAATACATTGAATATGTTAGTGCAGGGGTGGCTACTGCAAAACCAATTCCAACGTACTCTTAGGAATGCACCTGAACTCTTTAAGGTTTTGTTGTCTCTTATTTATTATGGGATTAATTCTTCCTACACGTCTCTCACATTAAAAGAACGAATAGAAATAGTGAAATAGAAGAATACTTAATATTAACTTTTGATGGTGAAACAGGAAACAACAAACAAGCAAAGAAAGAAACATGACTTTCTCCTAGAGTGCAGCAGTGAAAATGAAATGGGGAAATTGAGGTGTGAAAGTAAGAGTGGTAGCCAGGTGTTTAAAAGTGTACAGGAAATGTAATTTTTGTTGTTGTTGAATAACGGGCATACCCTTCAGCCTGGACAACATTCAGAGTATGATTCTTCTCTATAATAAAATATCACAATAAATATTGTGAATCAATATCAAGAGGAAGCAATTAAATTATGGAGAGAAACTTTTTTTTTCTGAATAAATAGCTATAGTGAAGCATTTTGCTAAATTAATAGAAGGAGCAAATATCCAGAGAAATAAGTTGATTGAATATTACAATGAAAAGGGACATTTATAAATTGCAGTGGGGACTAAAAATACATTTCCAATTTTACCAAAGGATTTTTGAAAATGACTGGTAAAGTCACAGAGGTGTAGAAAAAGGAAGTCATGGGTCACAAAAAGATGTCAGAAGAAAACAGACAAAAATCTTGAGGCTGTATTAAACCATTTTCGGCCATATTGTCAAAAATTCCCATTAGTTCTTTAGTAAGGAGGAATTAACACTTAATATCAAAATAAGTTAGATCATAGTAAATGCTTAGGTTTTATAACTTTGCAATGTAAAGGGCGTAGTGAATTCTATTTCATTCTCATTCTGAAGTTTAAAAAGGCATTCTTAATTTATAAATTTGTTATCCTTATATCTTAAAATCCTTCCAGACAGCACAAGTCCTAATAGTGAGAGCAGCATATGAGGATATTAAGTAAAAACCCAGTTGTTCAGAAAGGTTAATCAAAGACGACCACAGTCCTTCTACCTCCAAAAGAATGTTGCTTCAACAATAATTATATCTGACTGGATTTGCCTTATGTACAGAAGTACTTAGTAAATTTTTCAAAGGTACCTAAGAAATAAATTATTAATATTATTTTAAAACAGCATGAGATTCTAGCATAGAGAGAAAAGGAAATGTATTTGTAATCTTTCATGGCTTGTGTAATGTAAAAAAAAAAAATCCTCATGGATAAGTGTCTAATTATTTTAGTCAGTAAAGATGGCTTACACCTGATCAGCTTGATAGCTAGCAGGAAAAGAAATCCTCAGACACTGTGATACTGGGTATATTCTGTGCCTGACTAGACTAATTTATCACAGACAATCAATTTGGTCACTGAAGAGAACGAGGGCATGTCTAAGAGTAACTAAAAATATATTTGTACTTCAGAGCTTATACCTGTCAAATGGGATATTCTTTGAAGTCAACCCATTGTTGCTCTGACTTAAACTCTTTCCACTGTGGAACAAAAGTACAGTAATTTTGAAAATGGCATTTTAAGTGAAACTATTTATTTATACTTTACACTATATTATTATGTTTCAAAACCGAAAAAGAATTGTGTGGTACAAAATGAAGTATGTTTCTGTGAAAAATGCACTGAATACAATACATCTTTATGGATAGAGAGGTATGGAATTCTCAATTGTATAAACATTGCAATTCACAGGAAAAAGTTGCAGTAGAAAAGCATCAACCTTCACAGAATCCTCAAGG